GTTAGCAGATTTGTGAAATGAGCAGTGATTTTTTGTTATCGTGCCATTACTTGTATATGATAAGCAGGAATTCGTTGATACGATCGTGGGACTGTTCAGACGGTTGGCTCTACCCATTGCGCAAACTTATACGTAAGTACCGGCAAGTTATTGCACTAAATCTAACAAAAATAATTTATAAGCAGGCCAAACAGACCCTCAATACCTTTGATCACTTAGGCTAATAACTCATGGAGTGTTTTTTTCCGTATCTGCCGCGGGCAGGCGCAGAACAGAGACCCAAGCTCGATTTTTGTCCATAATTGTATCCTCTCTCTCTCTCTCTAAATTTAAGAGCTATGCTCTTGTCGGTGCAGACTATGTATCCACCTCCATCACCCTCTATCCTCCGCCAACTCTTTGAGCCCATTGTACGACTCGACGCCAACCTTTTCCTTGATTTGCTTTATGTAGGCTATCCTCGGTCTTCCCCTTCCTCTCTGTCCTTCCACTTTTCCCTCAATGATGGTTTTTATGAATTCGTCGTGTCGCACAAGGTAGCCGAACATTCTTCCCCTTCTATTCTCTAGTGTGTCGAGCAAAGTTCACCGTTCATCCACAATGTCCAACCCTTTCATTTGTTAGTTTCTCTGTCCAACTAATTGTATCACATCGTCAAATTTTCTATAAAAACTAAGCGTCAGAACAAGCTGGCTCCTCCCATACAAATGTAACGATCACGATACGATTATGGAACTGTAAAAATTCGGTCAAAGCTATTTTTTATATACCTATTTAAAATCGATTTCTTTAGGACTAGCGGCCCGCCCTCGCTTCGCTTCGGTGTAGAGCTGAAGTGTAGACTACAGTTTTTGTTCTCAGGCTCGTATTATACACAACGACATTCATCTATGATTCTTCTTATACCTGCATGCAAAGCCTCAACCCGATCGGTTTGAAATTGACAAAGTTTCATACAAACTTTTATTCCCTATTTTATCCCCTTGGGGGCAGAATTAATCAAAATCCTTTCTTAGCGGATTCCTACGTCATAACATCTACCTGCATGCCAAATTTCAGCCCGATCCGTCCAGTGGTTTGTGCTGTGCGTTGATAGATCACTATGTGAGTCAGTCACCTTTGAGTTTTATATTTAAAGATGGTGGAGCATAGCGAATTTCCCGCTCGAATCGGATTTCCAGTCTTTGGAAGTGAGGAGACTGCTATGAAATAACAGTAACTTTAGGTGGAGTTGTGTTTTCTTCGATGGGCAAAGTAACTGGGCTCCGTGGTAGTGGGGGTAAAGTGATTCCCACTCTGCCACGCTCCACGAGGAAGCCACACCAACGCGCGTGGTTGCGGGATTGCACATCTGCACACTTACCGCCTTATTGCAAAACGTTGACTAAAGTTATACCTGGACTTAAACTTGATGCTGACACTAACATGTCACTATTGTTCGCTAAAAGAAGGCAGAGACAATAATTAGTAAACCAAGACCAATTTTAGTCCGCGTTTTGGAACAAGGCGGTGATTTGTAATGATGCCGATTCTGGTATGGTTCTCTAAACCTATACTTATATTTGGCAACAGTCTGTCCTGTGTCTGTGTTGTTTCTCTATACATAAAGAAAAGGAGAGACTGATGTTGAATATAGTTTTAAGTTTAGTAAATCATGCCAGAATTGAGACCAATGACTTAAAAAAAGGCCTCACCTACTTGGATACTGATAAAATTGCCTCAAATAACTGTGGAGCAGGACAGATCGATGTCTATTGGCGGATGCATATGCTTAGCAGTAGGCCGAGATGATAATGATGAAATACCTCTGTGTCAATACTTAACCTAATCCAGTTCTAACGTTTCAGAAATTTATTTGTAATACATCTAAAAGAAGAAATATATTATTGATAATGGAGTCACCTATTGCTGCCATTTGTAACGTAACATTAGAAGTTCCAAAACCTGGTAGGTACTTTTTACATCCGAATTGTGGGAAAGGGTACAATGGTACGTTTACCCTTTCCGGGTAGTACCTGTTTAGTTAAATTAGCCATTATATAAAGTGGCATCCAATGAAATAGCTGTAGATAACTAGCCAAAATATGGGCGCATACCTACATATAACCAGACGGCTGAATATTTTGTTAAGTAAGGTTAGGTGGGTCGATTGGGACAGTTTTAACCTACATGGAGATCCTGTTAGACAGCCGGTGGTTATTGCGCAGACAGTGCTGTCTTTGACCTATTGGAGGCCCTGGGCATATTAGGATATTTGGGCCCCTATGACCCCCGTTTGGTGATCTAACAAGAACTAGGGACTTTGTATTTGTGATCTGAGGTGCCCACCTATCGATCACGGGGCCCTGGGCACTTGCCCAAAGTGCCCATTGGGAAAGACGGGTCTGTGTGCAGATACTCACCAGATAAAGATGTTAGAATATAATTAATTGCACAAGATTGTACAAAAGATGCAAACCTGCATTGCCATATCATGCATAGGCTAGAGGGTGTTTTGCATGATACAGGGCCGCTTTTAGGTAGGTGCCGTGGGAGAGGATCTCTCCGAGGATGCATGCGAGGATTATTGGATTTACTCTAGCGCGGCAAAATAACTTATGGAAGCACCCTTGCACCTTGTGACGTACTCCCATAATACCTAAGCTCTTGTCCCTAGGGCAGGAGGTAGGGTCGAACTAACTAAATTAATTCCCTTGTTTCATTAATGTTACAGTACTTATACCTATTTAACTTAACTCGCTTTGACACAGATGATCATGACTATAATACCTTTCAAGCAAATGTAGTTTAAACCGTGGCGGACGACGGGAGCAGCGCCCATACATTTTTGCCCAATGTCTTATAGTTTAAGTTAAGAGAATCATGCCAGAATCGATACCAGTGTGTAACTAAAGAGAAAATTGCATATCCATCGATGCTTTTCAGAACAAGGATCTTACTGGCGTTATAATAAAGCAGTATTGGATTACTAAATAATAGCTCGGTGATTATCACATTCTTCTGTCAAAAGCTGTTAGTGAATAGGCCTTCTAGTATCAGACAGGATTCAAACCTGTGCCAATCGCTATCCAGGCTTTCCTCGCTTTTGTGTACTTGTGAGGCTTCCTCTCTTTTTAGATAACAGTCCATTTCATGTGGGCCATTCTCTGTCTTTGGGCTCAACACGATTAATATTTTCTTAAATGGTTACCAAATCAATGGCATAGAGCACCACATCCGACGCGACTAGGAAGGGTGTAGCCATAATGACATAATACTACTAAAATCATTCTGCCGTTTTTGCGGAATATGCAGACAAATGCAGACCAACATATTTTCGCAAAAACTAAATTTGTAATTACGACTCGCACATAACAAATTACAGCGTTAAATCGGGCGTACATGAAATTTATGCTTTTTAAATGATATCCGGAATTTGTACTGGCGAGTCGATTGTTTTGCCCAATAAGTCCAACGATTGAATTTTAACAAAATAATATTAATTATATGTTTAAAAGTGGTTTAATAGAAATAATATGTTAATAATTCTAATTATAAGTGAAATATGACACCATCCTTTTGTAAGTTTAATATTCCAGATAATTATGTTTTACAGCATATTACATAACATTGATTTAATGTAGGTATTTGCTGGTAACTGGTAATGTTTATTACCTAAGTTCAATTTTAATTTTATAAAATCAATTTAATTTTTACTGCTTGTCAATACTTCCAGACATTTAAACGAATAATGATATAAATTGTGTAATGTTTTTAATTTTAGTTTTTTTTTTACTACTAATTATTTCACATCATTCCAAGATTTTTAGGTAGTTTGATTATGTTCTGCGATATTTTTTGCTCAGTGCTATTGTGTAATATTTATAATTAAGATTTCACTTGGTTTACTTCCACATTGTTTGTAAGAAACTTTACTAGATATGAGTTGGTGTTGATCTTGCTGATGTTAATAAATAAATAAATAAACATACATTCGGCATTTTTAACTCCTTATTCAGTCTAGTGAAATAACCGAGCGCAACTTAGTTTTGTTTTTGAGCTGGTCCAACAGCGGGGGAAAATCGACAGAGGGGAACACTGAGAATGCATACTCCCCTTCTGGCCGCGTCGGCCGCGTTGCTCTATAACCAATGGCCATTGGATTAAAATAAATGTACAGGAGTTTTGGTGTGATTTCATCGAATCGAGGTTGGGGCATATTTTAATTATTCTTTAATTCCTTCATAGTGGATATTGTGAAATTAAATTGGTGTGATTTTGTATTACAACCGTCTGCACAACTGAAGAATCAGTGGAATCGTTAAAATATACGTTATTCCGGTCAAATGAACGTGAGAACTTTATTGTAGTGTTGACTAAGCTTATCAAGAAAGCTGACTCGATACATTTCGTGCCAAATACTCCAAGTAACATTAGAGTGCGTCACACCTATATTCTAATGTAAAAAAAACGAACATTAATCAAAACTTAAGACGATGGCAGCATGGCTGCATGGTTTTGCCTTAGCCAAAAGAGCAGAATAAAACTAAAAAAAAAAAGGTTTTTTTTTTGGCGGGATTTCATCGAGTGCGGTTGGCGTCTTATTTTAATTATTCTTAAATTCGTTCATAGTGGATATTGTGAAATAAAATTGGTGTGGTTTTGTGTAACAACTGTCTGCGTAACTGAAGACTTAGTGGAATCATTAAAATATACGCTATTCCGGTCAAGTGGACGTAAGAATTTTATTGTAGTGTTGACTACCTCACAGAAGCTTATCGAAAAAGCCAACTCGATACATTTCGTGCCAAACACTCCAAGAAACATTAGAATGCGTCACACCGACATTCTAATGTATAAACAAAAAGAAGATAAATTTAATTAAAGACCAGGCTGTATGGGCATTGTTCCCTTTGCCTTCCCTAGAACGGGAGAACTTCAACAAAAAAAAAACTAAAAAAAGTGACATATGAAAATGACACATCATTTCATTTGACTTTGACTTGACAGTTCAGTTGTGAAAAATGGCCGCGATTGGAATGTGCGAAACTCCCGGCTGTAAATCTATAGCACAACTACAGTGTCCCACTTGTGTTAAACTCGGTATTCAGGGTTCTTTCTTTTGCAACCAAGACTGCTTCAAGAAATCATGGAAAACGCACAAAATTATTCACTCGTTGGCCAGTGAGTGTCAAGTTTTTAGGTTATGGTTCGGTGTTGGGTTACAGTGTCGTAATAATGTTGTTTTGCATCGCTTTCAGAGGGTGAGAGTACTGATGGTTCGAACGCGGAGTATAATCCGTGGCCGGCTTACAGTTTCACGGGCAAGTTGAGACCTTTTCCGCCTGGACCTAAGCGAACTGTGCCTCCTCACATCGGCCGTCCTGATTACGCGGACCATCCTACCGGTTTCCCGGCGTCGGAAAATGCTGCCAAAGGCTCCGGACAGATCAAAGTGCTCGATGACGAAGAAATTGAAGGCATGCGTGTCGCTTGCCGACTTGGCCGCGAAGTTTTGGACGAAGCAGCCAAGTATGCATTTTTGTATAAATATTTTGGTCATGCATGACCTTATTTCTTGTTTACTGAACTAAGAGTGATATTTTTATCAGAATTAATTGTTGTCACTTGGTAACTAATTGATATTTTAATTGAATTTAGTTTTATATATATAAAAATAAGTTATCATTAGCTTCTCTGTATTGTTCTGGCCTTGAAAATTATTCAGTGTCAATATAAACTGGCCAAAGTCATGACTAATGATTCAAACAATGTCAAAACAATCACAAAACAGCTAATGTATTTGTGTAAAAGGTAATTATGTTTTCAGAGTTTGTGATGTGGGAGTGACAACTGATGAGATTGACCGTGTTGTTCATGAAGCTTGTATCGAAAGAGAATGCTATCCGAGCCCTTTGAATTACAACAATTTCCCAAACAGTTGTTGTACATCAGTGAATGAAGTTATATGTCATGGAATTCCAGATACACGCCCACTACAGGTATAAGGTCCATGTTATTTATATATCAACTTGAATAAAAAGCTTTTATAACAATACAGGGAGAAAAAAACAGCCCTTGCTTAGTTTCTTGCTGGTTCTTCTCAGTACAAGGTCTTCCGCCGTAGTTTTGCGAACCGATGGCATAGTTTCTTGACCTTCACAAGTGCTTGTAACATCCTAGACTGAATAAATGACTTTTCATTTCATTTCATTCCATTTAGTTTAATAAGCCTTGGGAGGTGTTTTTGTGTAAACTTAGAAAGCAGCATTAAATAAAGATATAGGTATTATATAATTGCTTTAAACTTATATGGTCCCTAACATTATAGTAATATAAGTTGTATATAAAACTAGTTTTTACGGGTTAATGCACAAAACTTTATTTATTTATTGACGTTTCACAGCCTTTTCAGGTCTGCATCGTCAGAATAATGATTTTTTATTTAAAATTTTTATTTACAATTTTAAATAAAAAATTTATTTAATGAGTGATGTGCGTGAAAACCTAAGAAACAAATAAGTTGTATATATTGCAATCATGAAATAATTTTTTTTAGTATCTTACTGCTAGATGTTTAATTCTGAAGAAAATATTGCTAGAAGAAAAAAACATTTTTATTTCTAGTAATAACATTCTTCAGATTCAAGAACGAACTTCTGTTATTTGTAATATCTAAAGTTTTTTTTTAATTTATTAATTACAGGATGGCGATATTTGCAATGTGGATGTGACTGTTTATCATCGTGGATTCCATGGTGATCTCAACGAAACCTTTTTTGTAGGTACTATTGCAGAAAGCACTCGAAAGCTGGTGCAGGTTACCTATGAGTGTTTATCAAAAGCAATTGACATTGTGAAGCCTGGTGAGAAATACCGAGAAATAGGGAATGTAATACAAAAGCATGCTCAAGCTAATGGATTCAGTGTGGTTCGATCGTACTGCGGTCATGGTATACACAGATTGTTCCATACTGCACCAAATGTACCACATTATGCAAGTAAGTGATATTTAAATATTTGATATTAATAATTAAAAAGCTTTTCTTTTAAACAACAAATGTAACAGAAGTGTTTTACTAAATGAAAGAAAGAAGTCATATTGAGCTTTTTGTGTGTTTGCATTACATCACACTGTCCATACTACTCATTCAATATTTTTAACAATCCAGTTTAACTGTCGGTTCCCTAAAAGTAATTACATTCCAGTAATCCAACCAGCTAGCATTTTTACTCTAAGAATTATCATTGTCTCCAATCTGTAATTTGACGACCTCCGTGGTCGAGTGGTTAGTATGCCGGGTTTCATGGTGTCGCCGACTCGAGAGGTCCTGGTTTCGAATTCCGATGGGGGCAGATGTTAGTGTGATGAACACGAGCATTTGTACTCCAGTCATGGATGTTTTATATGAATTTCTATAAAAATATACTTATAATCTACATGTACAGTATATGTATTCTATCCGTTACCCCATAACACAAGCCTTAAAGTGCTTACTTTGGGGCCAAGCTAATTGGTGTATTGTAAAAAAAAAAATATTATCTTTAAAATAAAAAGCATATTTTAAATTCTTCTTGATACTAGATTTATAGGTTAAAATTGGTTAGTTTTACAGAGTAGTAGAACTGTAGAAATTCTGCAATGTTGTTAGATATTGATGTTAGTGCTGATGCTGGTAGGAAACCATTGTGTTAGTGTGGCATATAGCCACAACCATTTTCCTAGTTTATTCCCACCATAATGAACCTTCCTGGCAACTGCATTTTTAAAATATATGTTTATAGTTTATATTTAGTTTGAATTCAATTCTGTCACGTTGTCAAAAAATAGTTTTATTGTCAGTCCATCAGAAACATGAAATAACTATTTTGTAATATTGGAATTTCATTTGGCACAATTTAAAATGTTTAAAATAAGTCTTTATCCTAATACGGACGGATACATTCTATATTTATTTCATAAAATATTTTTATGCTTATAAAAAACTAACTTCTAAGCAGATCTTCTGTTTAAGAGAGGTAAAAATATTCATTTAATTAATAATGGTCGTTACGACAGAGAATAAGGCTGTGGGTGTGATGCGACCAGGCCACGTATTTACCATTGAGCCGATGATCAACGAAGGGGGGTGGAGAGATGACCAGTGGCCTGACCACTGGACCGCTGTCACTAGCGACGGGTCACGGTCTGCGCAGGTAAGAATTATCAACAGACTATTATTAGAAAATAGTGCTTTTAGCTCTACCAAATTATAGTTCTGTCATCGATTTGTTTAAGTGAAACTTATTTTTATATTACATCACCTCAAATTTTATTTAGATTTTAAATCTGAACTAAAAGAATTTATTGGTAAATAAAAAATGTCATCTGCGGCTAAGTTGCCCTCCGAAAATACCACTTATTTGACTTATAAAAACATGCATCAAAAAATCACAGAAAGACAATTTTATAGAAGAGTTAGAAATCTTAAAAGAGAAAGGGATTATAGACGAAAAAGGAAATCCTTATAAATCGTTAAATTAATTTCTTGACTCAGATGACGTTATAAGAGTAGGAGGCAGGATGGAAAAATCGCAATAAGACTACAATCGGATTCTTTTATTGAAAGATTCATGGATTCATCTTTAGCATGTTGCATTACATTAATGATTTCTATTTAAAAAGTTTTGACTTTATCAACTACCATCTGTGGTTCAGTGGTGAAAAGCTCGCCAGCTACGCGGGTTGGCCCTGGTTCGCTGGTAGAGCTAGTGCAACATAAACTGCAGTTCAAATTCATTTACAGTTTGAACAAACATTGCTGGTCACGGAAACCGGATGCGACATAATGACGAAGCGTTTGACCGGCCGGCCCTGGTTCATGGACCAACTCGACAAGTACGACAAAATCAACAACGGCCTCTAGCGGACAAACAGTGTCATAGAGGTGACTTACCACTTAATGTACTTTATACTTACATACATCCTTTGTCCCAAATATTCGGCTAATCGGTACGAAGTCCTTTTGGACGCCTGCCGTTTTATAATAAATAAAAAAATACAATAAAAATCTAGGCTGTATGGACTTAGTATCTTTTGTCTTTTCTTTGTGATTTATAACATTAAAAGTAAACCTGTCTTTTGGGACTTTTCCAATATAATGGCAAATTAATCTAGAAATGTTTTGCAACAGAAAAGTAAAATTTCCTACAGCATTCATTATTTAGTATTTTGGATAAAATATTCAGTTCATTTTAATTTTTTTTAATAAAATGTAAGAGTATAACTTTTGTGAATAAAATATTTGCTGGAAAATATTTAAATGATCCCCCAAAAAATAGTTATTGATTGTATTTTTTACCAATTAAGTACTATTTTTGGATATAATGTACTTCCAGGACCCAAAAGTAAAAACTTCACAGTTTTGTTCAATACAGCTTCGCATTTTTTTGTTGAAAAGGTTTCTGTTAACCACATTATTAAACAAAGTGTCCACACTAATGCCCTGTTTATAATAGAATATTGATTTTTTTATATTTTCTATAATAAATAGGTAACACCATTTTGACAATTTACATTGTTTTTTTTTTATAGTTTATTAGTAGTCTATGAGACAAAAGTTGAGATTATTATACAACCATCGAAAATATAAATAAAGCACAAAAATCTTTTAATTGAGTACTATTAAAATCTTTTAATTGTGTATGATAATAACCTTATCACAAAAAAAAGAAATACAAAAAAACACAATGTAATTTGTCAAAATTGTGTTATTATCTATATACTATAGAAAAACAATAATTTTTACTATTTTATTTTTCTCAAAAACTATCAGCGCCTTGGTATAGAGACTTTGTATAGGGACTTCATTAACAAAGACCTTTTCATAAAAAAATAGTGAAGTGTCAATTATTGGGCCCTGGAAGTACAGTTTTACCCTATTTTTAGTGATCATTTAAATATGAGCCATATTTTTTTAAGTAACAAACTGATATTGTATGTCTTAGAATATTCATTAAAAGAAGCGAGTATTTCAAAATTACGCACATCTTTTTAAAGCTCTTTCTGAAAACAAAACACATTTATTATGTTAGCTACAACAAATTTGCATATCAGTAACTGCTGACAATACTATTGAAACACTATCTTTCAGAGATTAAAGCTCATTGAACCGCTAATTGTATAATTTCAACTTCAATCATGATACCCGATAACTTTCTAAAAAAAAAATATTTTCTTTTAAAAAATTACGCGGTTCCGCGCTTTGAAACGCAGAATGCCTTCTTGAAAAAATACGATCTTTCCGCCATAAAATTACGGTCAGCCAACTCGGATGTCCACTAATCTGTATTTGAGTCTGACATGGGTTTTATACTCTTGTGATGTATGTGACACGGTAAAAATGTATAACTTTGTTAGTTTATGTTCTACCTAGAGATATTGCAAACCGTTGACAGACTCATCAGAATCTTTGAGATCTGCAATGTAACACTTATTCATATAGACAGTCTTTAAACCGTCACTTTATAAAGTGAATGATATTATTGCAATGAGGGCTATCGCGTATGAATCCGCCGCTAGAGGCGCTAGTGTAGCGTGAGGTCTCCGAAATGTCAAATGTTATTGCTTGTTGGTTGACTACGCGGGTTTATTTCTAATTAAAATAATGTTGTGAATAATTGGTAACAATTCGGCTTAATTATGGCAAATATGAGTTATGTGGCAATGAATGTCAGTTATTAAAAATTTGAGCTTAGAAAAATGATTATGTTCGCATTTTTTCCGAATAAAACGGAACTGGGCGTCACTGTGGCATGGCCTATTATGTTTAGGATATGGATCTTTTGTGTTAAAATACGATGTAAATGTAACCTTTGATTTCATGTGCGTATTAATAAACTTTAAAAGTTATAATTTAATACCTCACTCAACAGTGGCGCCATCTGGTGAGACAGAAAACGGTAGCCCTCATTACTACAAGTTTGACAATTGTACTATAACATAATTAAAATTAATATTATAATATGCACATTAGAAAATACTTAAGTGTCTGTTCAAAATCTAAACGGAATTGAAACTATGGTTTGTACAGCCAAGTATTCACGGTAAATGTTTGTTAATAAACAAAGTTGTATCAATTTAACTTACTGGCAACAATGTATGTTGCAGTTTATCTTTATCGCCACATAGATATTGATATATAGCAGGGATGTAACGGAGGTAAATTTATCAGAACCGTAGTCGGAGGCAGAGTCGGGTCAGAGGCAGAGTCAGAAGTGGTCAAAAGAGAGATATTTTTATTTTTGCATTTAAAAAATAAAACATCACTAGCAAACCAGTGAACCAAATGTTCACCAAACCTGATTTAAAAAAAAATGTATTTAATTAATTGAGAACTTCGGAGATTTTGTGTGGTTTCGTTTGAAATTCGTGATTTCTCGAAAACCGGAAGTGCTACGTTACTCAAAACCGGTTTTTAGTCTTATCAGACTATTCTTAACTTATAACTTAAATATTCTCTTTATCTATCTCTTACGGTTTGGCCGCTGAAACAGCACCACAGACAGACGGACGGACGGACTTGTCTAATAGATAAGAGATTCGGTCAATCTTTTTTCATTTTAATAAATACAATAACCTTTCTTCATTTAAATTTACTTATTATTAACACAGACTCCCAACGCGACGGGTATGAACCAGTTCGTAACGGTCGACGCTGCGTCGACCGTCGCTATTTACTACGCTTCGACCTCCGATTAAAACCTTCGATTTAAAAGTTTCGGTGTAATAATAATCGGAAGTTCCGACTTAACGGAGTCGGAGTCGAAGCTCCGTAACATCCCTGATATATAGTTACTAACAACATTTTCTCTTTAATTTTAATCACCTAAAATCTGCTTTATACCGGTTACGAGTGCCAGAAATGCAATATGCCACTGCTGCAATAATGCCTAACACGCCATTTTGCCTAAAGAGCAATCTGCCTTAAATGAAAGATGCTACTACTCCAATAATACCTGAAACGCTACTTGACTAAGAAGCAGATTGCCGACAATGTGTCGTGACTATAATATTTGCTGGCAACCGTCAATTTGAAATCTTTAAATATTAATAAATACCAAAAATCTGTATTCTTAAAAATAAAAACAAATCTTCGATTCATTAAAAAAAGAAAAGTGCACTGAAATATTCAATTTTTTTAAACTAAAAACTGATCATAAAGACAAATAGACTATCTTATGATTTTCAAGTGCTAGATCAATGTATGTATCGAATGAGGGCTACCGTTTTCTGCCTCACCAGATGGCGCTACTGTTGAGTGAGGTCCTAAATTGTAACTTTTAAAGTTTATTAATACGCACATGAAATCAAAGGTTACATTTAGATCGTATTTTAACACAAAAGAACCATATCCTAAACATAATAGGCCATGCCACAGTGACGCGCAGTACCGTTTTATTCGGAAAAAATGGGAACATAATCATTTTTCTAAGCTCAAATTTTTAATAACTGACATTCATTGCGACGTAACTCATATTTGCCATAATTAAGCCGAATTGCTACCAATTATTCACAACATTATTTTAATTAGAAATAAACCCGCGTAGTCAACCAACAAGCAATAACATTTGACATTTCCGAGACCTTACGCTACACTAGCGCCTCTAGCGGCGGATTCATACGCGATAGCCCTCATTACAACAAGAGTTTGCAAAAATACTTGTGCATTAGACATTAAAAAGACATATTGCATTTTAGGCATTTCGATTTGTAGACGAAATAACATTTAGGCAATTACAATGTCTAGGCATTCATGGGTAGGCAATCTGCTATTTAGTCTATTGACTCTTTAGGCATTTTGCAGCAGTGGCATATTGCATTTTAGGCACTGCTCATAACCGCTTTCTACAGTGTCACATACAGCATTGAACAAGCCTAAATGATAATTTCTTACTGCACTAACGACTTAATTGCTTGTGTTGTATAGTGTTTGTTTATTAACGATGAGAATTGTGTATTTTTTTTTATTGTATATAGGTATGATAAATCTAAAAAGTTGTCTGTTCTCGAATCCTCTCGACATATTTATAGAATAGGTCGTTGAAAATATTACGTCACATTTTTGTAGCATAGTATGATGGTTCTTGAGTTTTTGTATGTCACCGATAATGTCTCACACATGCATTACCAAATTTTATACAAAATAATATTGTATCCATTTTACACTTTGTATATGAACCAATGTGCTGTTTATAAAGGCGATGAAATAAATTGATAAAGACTCAATACGCAACAATTTGTTTAATTTAACATATCAAACGATTTGGCATTTTAAAATAACTAAAGATCTAAATGCACTACATAACTTAAACTACATTAAATAAAGCTAATAAAACTAAATATATTTACAAAAAATCTTAAGTTATATTATTATATTTACTAGAAATAGCCAACATTGAAAATGTTTTCATGATAAGAAACAAGTTGATAAACATACATCAATAAATTATAAACTTGACGTTTTCAAAATATTACATTTCAATGAAAGTATACTTACTTGCTTGTCTTACATACTTTGAACTCTCTTCTTTAGTTTTCAAAAAGGGAAGAATCCTTCAAAGTCTTTTGAAAATTGCGTTCTGTAAAAACCTACTTATTCTTCATATTCTTCGAAGAGTGGCATGTAGTCATCACTCCTTGATCGGAGTTTCAATCCGAAGTCGGTGACTTGGTTGGCGTCGTGACCCTGGGTTTTGTCAAACTTTTTCACCATCGCCGAAGTCCAGTTTTCAATGGTGTCTGGTTTCTTCACCACAATCTCTTTCACTTTGTTCAAATTGTGTCCGTTGTTCAATTTTGCGGCCAGTAACTCTTTCTGAAAAATAACAGCAAAAATACTGTCACAAACGCTCTCGAACAAAAACCGCGAACATACTGGAAACAGATGAGCGCCGCGGCCGAATGGTGCGGCTCATTCTAATATGAGCCTTGTGTAATGCGGCGTAAGGGTGAAAGCGCCGATTGGCGTAATAAGCGTATCCGGCGCAGCGCAGTGGACTGTTTAGTTTCAAAGTGGTAACAGT